TGTGAGAATGTACTTTAGTCTGGGATCAATAAAGCTGCTGGTGTGAGAATGTACTTTAGTCTGGGATCAATAAAGCTGCTGGTGTGAGAATGTACTTTAGTCTGGGATCAATAAAGCTGCTGGTGTATAAATGTACTTTAGTCTGGGATCAATAAAGCTGCTGGTGTAAGAATGTACTTTAGTCTGGGAAGTTTTGTTTTTACCAAAAATATTCAAGTCTTAGTGTTTTTATATCGACTCTATATCCAATGCAACTGTGCAATTGTTGAACAAAAATCAGAATATAGACGTCTATTTAGATTAGGTTGGACGTTACTCAAATTTGGGATTAATAGTGTGTAAAAACATTTTTGTACCATAATTCTTGTACTTCTGTAACATCAGTATTCTGACTTTCAAATATAATAGTCCAAGCCTTAAGTTCATATTCTCTGTTTAATAGAATATTTAATAGGGCATAAGTTTTAATTAAAATTAGGGAGAATTTTTGTATTACAACTTTTTTATGTTTCATAACTTTATTGCAGATAATATTTAGTTTTAATAAGTGACAATAGTGTTTTCACAGTGAGTCATGAGATTGGACTTTAAACAAACCTTCTATACATGTGTGGTAAACAGAAAACAATAGCTGTGGCACTTAAACTTGTTGAAAGGGCCAACTTTTAATGGATCTGGTAGAAAAAAAAAAGTGTTTTAGACACCACAGATGTTTTAATCTCTTTTTGTCCTTTTCTAAGAGTAAGCATTTTTTTTCTTCCCATATCTCTGTAGGATGGATATGTGGCATTTTGTGAAGCCCCCAAGGATAACGTGGTTGTTTCAACTATCACGGGTATGTTTGGTCCATTTCTGTGTAAGGCAGACAACCGCGGCTCTTTTCTTGTTAGTGTAGCAGATTTTATGTGAAGGTTAATTCTAGATAGGGTTTGTGTTGAGGAAAGTTAAGACTTCCATTAAAAAAAACAAATATTGTAGCTGTTCCCAGGAACCATTATCAATAAGGTATATTTAAACGGAACTTGGGTTTTAAGAAGATAAACATTTAATGCTAAATATATAAATGTAACAACAGAAGAAAAAAAAGAAAGTGTATGATTGACAAATTTTAAGAAAAGTTCTAAACACAGAAGGGATGAAGTCGTAAAATATCCTACTCGGGATGGATGTTTGAATCGCTTCCAGATGGGAAGTAATCCTCTTCAGTCTATAAAAATAATGTGAACTCCCTTCTCTTTTAACTGAAACTGATATTAGCTAGTATGATTGAAAGTATATGTCTTCACATAGAAAATTCTAAAAACTAAAAAGTTGTGTGATGTTATTTTTTCTTAATCTATTTCCATAGGAGGTTCTTCAGGAGCTCCTAATATTGTTCAGAATTCACCCCAGGCAATTATTATTGAAGTAAGTAATCCATTCATTGTTAACTTGGGTCTATTTCTGCTTTTTAGGAAAGAAGTTTTGTCTTTAATGACGCTACTTAATTATTTATAAAACTAGGAACTGATAAATCAAAAGTGTGTTACTGACGTAAATGAGTTTAGAGGAAGACATTCTGTAGATAAAACTAGAGCAAAGTGGGGGTAATTTGAAGCACACTCAAATGCACTCATAATCTATTTACTTACACTTACACAGTAAATTCATCAAAGTTATTAAAATATGCCAGAATATAAAGTAATTAATTAAAGGTGTAGTTCATAAAGAGCTATTAATTTCTGATTTGAAAATGGATATTTATGTTCAGTATTTGTACGGGGAAACTTTATATTTGTTTGAAAAGGCCTACAGTACATAGCTTTGTTTATTAAATGACTGAAAAATATAAGATTAGGTTTCTGTGATTGCTAAAAGATGATTCATAGCTTAGTTTAACCCTTTCTCTGTACTGTGGGGGCTATGGCACGATATTTCTTTGTATTTGTGCATTGTGCTTTAGAATCATCAGCATATACTAACCTTCTCTCCCTGTGTCCCAGCACAAATGTATTTGCCTACTTTAAGTATGTAATGCATCTCAACAAAAGCCCCAAGTTTTCAGGTGGCTATATTATATATTTTGTAGATCACACGACTTTGTCATGTGACTACCGCACATCTTTAGTATGGTAATGCTTTCATGGAAGTTTTGGAATACATCCTGGAGATCCTATGACATTCACTGTTTTATATCTGTAGCTGCATGTTGCTACTTAGCTATGATAAACTTGTTAAAACAACCGGATTGTCTAAGCAATCCCGAATAATAGCAGTGACTGTCAGAGAAATTCCAAGATTTATCACAAGTTCTGAATATTGGACACCTAAAGTGTGCTCAGCGTTTTGTATATCAAGAGGAATAAATTACATAACCTGAGATTAGTGGATCTAAAAATGTCTTACAAGTGATTTTTGGATGCTACTATTAGAAGAATGGAATGGCTTTACAAAGCACAGGATTGTATCATGAAATCGTAAACATGACTTTGAAACTGTGTAACAAAAACAAGAGCATAATAACAAAGTTACCAGAGGATAAATACTGCTATCAAAATGAAGGGATTAACTTAATACAACAATCAGCCCCTCAAAAAGATATACTAGTTGTTGTAAAGTATTTAAATTTTTCTGTTTTATTATTATAGAAAATTAATATCATTACAAGACTGCTAAACACATAAGAGGTCAAGACTGTAGCAGTGTTTCTACACTAGAGACAAAAGGTTAAATTGTCCAGCTCAGTTTGACATGTACTCTAGATATTGTATGTCCTATCTTACAATTATTGTCCAGCTCAGTTTGACATGTACTCTAGATATTGTATGTCCTATCTTATATTTATTGTCCAGCTCAGTTTGACATGTGCTCTAGATATTGTTTGGGCTATCTTACACTTATTGTTCAGCTCAGTTTGACATGTACTCTAGATATTGTATGTGCTATCTTACACTTATTGTCCAGCTCAGTTTGTCATGTACTCTAGATATTGTATGTGCTATCTTACAATTATTGTCCAGCTCAGTTTGACATGTACTCTAGATATTGTATGTGCTATCTTACACTTATTGTCCGGCTCAGTTTGTCATGTACTCTAGATATTGTATGTGCTATCTTGTATTTATTGTCCAGCTCAGTTTGACATGTACTCTAGATATTTTATGTGCTATCTTACACTTATTGTCCAGCTCAATTTGACATGTACTCTAGATATTTTATGTGCTATCTTACAATTATTGTCCAGCTCAGTTTGACATGTACTCTAGGTATTGTATGTGCTATCTCACACTTATTGTCCAGCTCAGTTTGTCATGTACTCTAGATATTGTTCGTGTTATCTTACACTTATTCCATTTAATATTGTCTTGATTTGACTTGTTCCAACAATTGCTTAAGTTTAAGTTCATGAAATGTTTTCTTTGGTTTAAATCTTGGTGTGAACAAAATTGTTTGAAATATTGCATATTTAAAGGATATCAATCTCTAGTGGCACAGTGATATGTTTGCAGATTTATACCACTAGAAACCAGGTTTCAATACCCGTGTTGTGCAGAGCACAGATATCCCTTTGTGCTTAATAACAAACAATAACAACTTCAAGGATATTACTATATCCTAGAAAGAACAGTTAGTTTTTTATTTGTTTCAAAGTTTTCTTAAAAGACGTTTCCGACATCTCAGTGACTAAAAGACGTTTCCGACATCTCAGTGACTAAAAGACGTTTCCGACATCTCAGTGACTAAAAGACGTTTCCGACATCTCAGTGACTAAAAGACGTTTCCGACATCTCAGTGACTAAAAGACGTTTCCGACATCTCAGATTACACATACTTATTTCCATTATCAATGTATCCATTGTTTACATAGTTTTCATTCTTGGTACATGTTTTTTATAAACATTCAGAGTTTTCTGTGTTGTTAACGAGAGAGCTAATTACATAATTTTATAATAACACTACTGAAGTAATTTTCTGTGTTGTTAACGAGAGAGCTAATTACATTATTTTATAACAACGGTACAGAAATAGTTTTCTGTGTTGTTAACAAGAGAGCTAATTACATTATTTTATAATAACGATACAGAAATAGTTTTCTGTGTTGTTAACAAGAGAGCTAATTACATTATTTTATAATAACACTACAGAAATGGTTTGTGTTGTTAACGAGAGAGCTAATTACATTATTTTATAATAACGGTACAGAAATAGTTTTCTGTGTTGTTAACGAGAGAGTTAATTACATTATTTTATAATAACAGTACAATAGTAGTTTTCTGTATTGTGAACAAGAGATGTTAGTACCTTTTTATAACAGTAGAGAAGTAGACTTGGTATCAAGTGATCAGTGGTAAATATTCAGAGTGAAAAATGTATTTCATCACATGGTTGATATTTTATTTATTTATTAACTTGCAGCTTTTACCATTTTTGTTTATTTTTTACATTTAGCCATCACGAGAGTTGGCAGAGCAGGTGAGTCCTTTAAGCTCTTTCATTTGTGCCATGTAGTAGTAAATATGTTTTTAGTAATTGATGATAGTTTATATGCTAAATAAACGACAAAACAAAGAATATTTAAATCATGGTTAGTTTAGTGCTTGATCACAAGGGGGATTTGTATGGACAGTCTCCTTAATCACAAGGAGTTAGTGAGATAAAGATATATTGTGCATAGTTTTATGGCTTACAAGGTTGGTCATTGTTTTTGACTAGGCCTATATAAGAAGGTTAAGGTGTTATTCTGTGAGAATGCAGTTTGTTTGACATCTTAAAACTTTAAGGCCTTTTTAAGGATTTTTCTGTAAGTAAACAGTTTGTTTGTAAAACATTCTTTCCAGTGTAGCCTCTTTTGTTATTTTACTCACGTTTGTAATCATCTATTGTTCTATAGACCAGACCAATGTCCTCGACATTGAGTGGCCAAGAGATATGAAGTATCGTCATGCCTTTAATTGTGTTAAAATTAGTATTTTATAACAGAGTCGGCATTTCTACTACATCAAATAAAACGTTTTATTTAGTAGTTATAACAATCGTAGGATTGTTACGTAAGTACTGATGTGTTATTAAAATATATAATATATTTTTCTTAGACTCTGCAGTGTATTGTAAACTTCAAGAAACACATAAAAGACCCAGGTATCAGGTAAAAAGAAATTACTTCTCTATTGTTTGAACAATTTCGAAAGTTTCAATAATGTTTCCGTTAGATACGGTGTTTGGTGTTTATTGTCAGTGTAACTTCGAGTTACTTAAAAATAATTGTTAAAAGTAAAAACTTATTTTTTGCAACAAGATTGAAATGACAACATAAAATATCAAGACTACGGCTATGGCTTATTCTTCTAAAGGCAAATGAGTACCATTTAGTGTAGCTGAAGGATTACCATTTTCCAAACGATAAACTACTTTGTTGAGTATAGGATGTCATCCTTTTAATGTGTAACTCGGTTTGACTGATCCAAGTATTTATATATTTTACTAGATTCTAGGATTATTGGCACACATATTAAATATATTATTTTGTTAATTATAAAAGCCATTTAAACATATCTTTATCACACACTAACTTTTTCACCTCAAGGCCCAAAATATACTTGATATGTAAGAATGATTATGAAAACTGAAACCCACATTGCTAACCCTGATCTTCTAATGTGGATTAGTTAACCTCAGATTCATGCTGTCATCACGTAAGTTTGTGTGAAACTGGTTTTTGTACTTGCATGTACAAAAAAGAGAAACTGCTTGAAGACAAGGAGGAATTCCGTTAGTACACCAGATGAATTATATGTTTAAAGAAATATTATAAATAACAGTATGTGGTTACACAGAAAATGATTGGTTGAAAAATTAACTATAAGATATAACAAATATTGTTTCAGAGCTTTCTCTGGAATCTGTTTTTCTGTCACCAAAATAAAGTAGAATAATCTGCAAAAAAATTATAAAAATCTATCAGAATTAAATTTTGGGTTAAAAATGGCTAAATTAAGAAATGACTGGCTGTTCATATGAGATTCAGGTTTTTAAATCAAATTATGCTTTATAAAGCCTGAACACTAACACCACTTGGAATTGTGTTGAGCGTTTCGTGTGATATTGTTACAAATATTTAGTAAGTTTATGCAGTCACCAGTAGATTTTGGCAGTTTCCAAAGTGATTATTCATAGCTCGTATTAAATTTTCAAATATATTTTCCTATTTTTAATGAAAAGAAACTTGTACCATTAGAAAATTCAATTAAGAATGTTTCAGCAATGCTAATATTCATATACCTGGTTTATACTGGTTACCACACAAAGCCTGACAGTTGGACAATGGTCAACACTACCACTGTGCAAAGGTTTATAATTAAGAAGAAAAATTGGCTTCACTTAGCCATTTGTTTTATGGTTTTCCAAAACTGTGTATGGGAGTAAATTATAACTGCAAGTTATACAGTACGTATCCGAGAATAGGCTTAACTGAATCTAGAACTAAAGCCAATGTCTTCAATGTTTTAAGTGTGAATTTGAAATAATGTTTACATTTTGTGCCTGAGCAACTGACAAATATGTTGAAAAATTATTCATTAACAGTTTTAGGCATAGTTCAAAAATCAGGAAAATGTTAAAAACAAAAAAACCTGACTGCTATAAAAGAAGGAAACAACATAAGATTACCTATTTCAGCTTTATAGATGAATAGTGACATTAGGCCTAAGGTTAGAAATGTTTAACATCTAAGCACCACAAAGCATGGGTCATTAAGTATTGTTGAGCAAAGGTCTACCACTAGATGGATACAGTAGTTGTGTCATATTTTAATTGTTTGTATCCTTATTGAGTAACTTTGTATCTTATTTCGTATAAAATCAATTTCTAGATGTTTATGTTTTAATTTGAAAAGGCATACTTCCAAAATGGTGACCTGTATTGATTTTTTTAACCTGCATCTTAGTTTACAATAAAAGTTTATGTGTTGTCTGTATCTAACAGAGAGATTTTGGTGATTGGCGGTGTGGCAGCTAAGGACCAGATTAGTGCTCTGCAGAGTGGGGTAAGTGATTTGAGATATTGTTACTTCAAGGAATTGAGTGTTTCGAGTGATGTCTGTGTTGTCTTGGATCTGTTTATTGTCTATGTGAATTGTGAGGTAATTAAACTTTAAACGGAGAAGCAGTTGGGTTTAATCACATTCTGTCTTAAACTATTTATGTACCATATTGTTTTGTGTATCCATAACTATTGGTTACAGGGTACGTAATAACATACAAGGTACTTAAAAATAATACCACCAATATTACAATGAATCCCACTAATTACTCTTATGGTTCTCTATGTATTCTACATACAAAATGAGCAGTTTTGCCCAGTTTGTTTTGGTCAGGTTTTTATAGTGAGTATTGTGTAAACAGGCATAAACATAAAATTACTCTATACTGTGATATGTGAAACCCTACCAGTAGTGAATGATATGATAGCAGAATTAATTTTTAAAAATGGAAAAAAAGTGAGCCACTATCAAAAACGTTGGCTTAAAAAAACTAGGACAAATGAAGAAGATGGGTGGAGGATCAAGTCAAATAATGTAGATCTAATGGTTGCTATAATCTATCCTGTTATCTCCACCCACTTCTTACACCCCCCTCCTTTTAATAAGTGTATTGTTGAAATTTCTGGATCGTGTATGCCATATCTGTTACAATGGTGATCTCTCCATGTTTTGTACTATATCTAAAAATATTTTCAACTTCTCTGTCACTGTTTATCCACACTGTTACTAAGTATATTAAGTTGAAGCTGTAAACTACCTTGTATAAATCATTTCACCACAGATAGACATTGTTGTTGGAACACCTGGTAGATTGGAGGATTTGATTTCTACAGGACAGCTTTCACTGACTCAGGTAGAAATGTTTATAGCTCTTATAATTATTTTATAACTGAACTAACAGTATTTTAAGTTACTATAAAGATGAAATATAGTTTTCTAGTCAGTTATAAATTGACAATAACTTGTCTCCAGAGTAGCTGATAACTATCCTAACATTAATTTGACTGTTACAAAACTTATCTCGGTAATTACATTGACTGGTGTTATTGTTAATTAGGTGAAGGATGAGAAAAATTTATCAAGTGTTGTATGGTTATTTCAAGATTCACAACTGTTTTTGTTTTTTTTGCTGTTCATGACATTATTTTTCACAGATATGCCAAGTTTTTAGGTTTATTGTCTGCTTTGCTTGAAGTTAGTTTATTCAAATTGAATTAACAATGATGTCACTAAACAGTATTCTGATGGTGTTGAGGTAATGTATCAAAGGCCTTGAGGTAAGTTTTCAACTTGGATAGAACAAGTAATATTCATGAAGGTAAAGTCTTAGTTTCAAGAAGGTGTTTTAGATTCACTGGAGAAGCATATAATGTTGGGTAATAGTTATTTAAACATAATTTGAATTGATATTGTATAGCACTGCCACTTTTCAGGTTCTGATTGAGCCAAACTTCGTACCCGTCCAGTCCTTGTGACTGGTACAACTTATAGTAAATCTCAAGCATCTTTAACATATGAATCAGGTAATCAGCTGAACATAGGCAGTGGTATATTATACTGAGTCTGGTATTAGTAAAGCAGATGAACAGTCGTGAAGAATGGAAGCTTCTTGCAGTTTGAGACTTAAAATATCTGTGTTTTGCTGTCATGATTCAAATACTTTCTTACTCTGCAACAGTAGACAACATGTAAAACAATGTAACATTTTTTTACGCTGTATTTAGCTAACTTCGTATTTTTTCTCTCTACATACAGGTTCGATTCTTTGTATTGGATGAAGCTGTAAGTGTCATTGTTATTCATTACTTTTAGTAGTTGAATAGTTTAATATTTAACAAGTTACTCTGTGATTTTCGACTCGGCTACATCATTTAACATTATCATATTATTCACTCTTTCTTCCTCAAATCTACTAATTTGTACTTTTCACATTTTATGTTTTCTCTAATTTTTTACCATGGTATGAAAACCAAACACTTAGGGAATTCTCTTATAGCTACAATTATTTTTATCTATGTAGGATGGCTTGTTAAACATGGGATATGGAGATTTAATTAATCGCATCCATCAACAAATTCCAAAGATTACGGCCGATGGCAAAAGACTGCAGGTAAGAGATGATGAAAGCATAGACTTGTTACAGAGTTTAAAAAAAAAGTGATAGTGGGTGTGTAAGAATTTTGACCATGTACTTCTATAAATCTCAACTAAAGACAGGCAGGTGATTTCTACTGAACAAATTTTATTTCTTGATGTACTTTAATGCAAGAACTTTTGACATTTACATTTATAAAAGGGCCTTATATTTTTTAGTTAAATTTGTCTATTGTAAAGTTCAATTTTTGGTATATTATTTATTAATTAAAGTGTCAGCTTTTAAAGAAATTCAGGTTGGTGTTGTAAACATCAAGATGAATGACAAATTCAGATATTAGTATTGTAAACAGTGGAGTGAAGGGTACACATTCAGATATTAGTATTGTAAACAGCAGAGTGAATGGTAAAAATTCAGATATTAGTATTGTAAACAGCAGAGTGAATGGTACAAATTCAGATATTAGTATTGTAAACAGCAGAGTGAATGGTACAAATTCAGATATTAGTATTGTAAACAGCAGAGTGAATGGTACAAATTCAGATATTAGTATTGTAAACAGTGGA